TGGGCCAGTGAAGCAACGTCCTCCACAACTAGACTGAAGAACAAAAGGACAGCAACTTGTCTGTTCCCCTTCCCCGAGTCCCCAACACTGTTCCCCTCCCCCAACTCCCCAATAAAATCTTAAAAAAAAAATTCCACAAAAATTGAACATCATCATGGATTGTTCTCCAGTTCCCTTCCTCACCCACCAGTCCCTACATATTATTGTGTTTATCCTTTTAGTCCATATAGAATCATTCTAAAAATTGCAATTTAAAATTAAATGCAAGATTAAATGTATCTTACTGTTTTTTCAGATACAAACTTAATTTTTTTCTCATAAATAATTTTCAACACATACAAAAACAGAGAAAAATAGTATATAATAAATTCCCATACACTCATTACCCACATTCAACAATTTTTATCAAGATTTTGCCACATACTTTGTAAAATTAAAAGTAAAAGCTGTAACCTATTGTTCATCCTACAGTTTGTTCAGTCAATACATAAACACCTAAGGGAGACAGGGGGAACTAAGGTTAGCTGTGCTCTTACTATGTGCTAGGCACTAGTTCTTCCATACACTGACCCATTTAGGAGTCTTAACAACTCTGTGACCTAAATAGTATTATCAGCGTTGTTCAGCGTGGAAAATGAGGCTCAGAGAGACGAAGTTTCTTCCATAGGCTCAGCCAGTTGCTTGTCTTTCTAGAACTTAATTTCCCTCTCCCCCAATTTCAGAGTGTGTGTGCGCGAGTCACTAGAGGGTATTCTGTTAAAGAACATAAAATGAGGTCTCACTTTGGTCTGTGTGAATTAATGTCTGAATTCTCTGAGTTGAAGGGAGGACCCAGCATTACTACAGGGACTTTCAGTCAGCAACTTTTGGTTATTTATGTAATTTAGAAAATACCTCTTGTAACTTTCACTTTAAAACATTTTCCTATAAACTACGTAGGTAACAGAAACATATTCCGTTTTCCTTTAAAATAAATCTATTTAATGATTCAGTATACAAATTCATATTTACTCTTTATAGCTCATCATCCCAGCTGACCGACAACCACAATTATAGAAAATGATTTCAATTGCCATTTGCAGGCTTGAAAATCTATCATGGATATTTTCCAAAGCAGTTTTGAAACTTCTTGCCTGCCATGTTGCTTATGTGTTGTTATGCTCATATACTACAGCAAATGTTTCATAACCATTCTTGATCTTTCCTGGAGACAATCGCAAAATAAGCAGATGTGAATGCGCCAGTATGTCAACCCTATTAGTCAGTGTCGTGGTAAGAAGTATGGCATTTTGGTTTCCTATGACACATTTTTATTTAATGCATAGAATGTTACCATTTAGAAACATAGGATGCACAATGACTCAGCTATTTTTGAGAGATTAATGAGATTAAAGACACTCAACTATATCTCCCAGTGTATGTGTACAAAATTTAAGGATGGATAATGTCTTACTCTAGATTTCAATTAATATTAGTATCCCAGACTCTTCAAAAGACAAACATGGTCTCTTGGGGAAGGAAAGTCTCGAAGAGCACCAGGATCAGCCAGACGACTTCATTTTGCAAATGTGGAAAGAGATCCAATTTTTGTTTTGTTTATGTTTTGTTCCATGTAGTTCTTGTTTGGTTTTCTATTGGCACAGGAACAATGCCAAGCACTGTCCTACCAAGGATATGTTCGTGCAACAGTCCCGAGTATTAAAGATACAGGGGGGAAAAAATAGCCACCAAAACTTAGTATGAACAGAGAGCAATCATTTTTTTAAGGTTGCCATAAAACTCAACGTGTAAGCTTGCAAATTCAAATGACCTAACTACAAATTAAAGTAAAAGGAAGGAAGATTGTCACATTGTAAAAGTTGAGTAAATCAAATTAAATTATGTTAAAAAATGGGCTTCTAATTCTACTTTTCCATTTATTATTTACAAATAGAAAATTTTCACTTTTTGCAAATGTCTCCTGGGCAAAACAAAAATTTTTTTTCCATAACCCTATTACTGCATTTTGATTCTGTGCCTTTTATCTTTTCCTAAAATACAGACCCTCAGTATGTATTATACCTCTGTAACTGACCTTGGAAATGAGATAATTTAATGGCTTTCGAATTTTTCTCTTTCTTTTTTTCTTTGGGTGGGAGGAGGGAAAGGAGAGGGTAGGGGAATCCCCAAATAGAGAAAACAGGACAGCGTGACCTGTGATGAAGCAACTTTCTCGTGCCCTAAATCAGTGCCCCCAACCCTAGGCAGGCCCACTGCAGACAGGAAGATACAGTAAACTCCCAGGCGCGGCAAGGTGAAAACCTAAGACTGTCAAGGCCCCTTGGACCAGCTTTTCTCCCTCGAAAACCTGGCCTTTTGGGCTCTAAAGGTACCTGGGGCAGGAGTGGGACCAACAGAAGATCTGGGGGAAGATTCGCCCCTAGGGCGGGTGACTCCAGTCCCCAGGGCCGGCGCGCGCAGAGCCCGAAGCAGCGGACCCCTTAGTCAGACGAGCTTCGAGCGGCGCCGCTGGGTCCCCAGGTTCGCAATTGGCCTGAGCCGGGCCGGGAGCCGAGCGGCCGCCGGGGCAACGCGGGACACATGGCGGCGAAGCACGGGTGCTCCCAGGGGCCGGCGGCCCCGCAGCCCCCCACCCCGTGCGGGGCTGGGCCAGAAACCGCGCCAGCCGAGTTGCCCGAAGCGCCGCGAGGTGCCAGGGTGCGGACAGCTCCGGAAAGGCGGCGTCCACGGAGTCCCCCGGGTCCCCTTCTTACCTTCCCTTCCCCGGCCCTGCGCAGGGCTCCGGCCTCGCGCCCACAGAAGTTTCCCAGCCCAGTGCTGGACCCCGCTGGCCGGCGCGGACGCCCCCAGCGCCCGGCTCGCGCGCTCCTTCCTGCCCACCCGGTCGGCGCCCGCCCCGCGGCAGAGCGCTCGGTCACCGTAGTCAGCTCCGGAGCGGCGCAGCTGCGCGGGCGGGGGCCGGGCACCGACGCGCGTCCCGGGGCGCAACGGGTAGGGAGGGGGCGGTGGCCGCCGCGCCCGGGCAGCCTCAGCCTCCGGGGAGCCGGCGGCGTGGCCACCGCGTTGCAGGACGATAAACCTAGCGGCCTCTACGGACAAAGTTTGCGAAGACCGGTTTCCCAAAGTGAACACTGCTTATCGTTACAAAATCAACCTGGTAGTCGGTGTTATACTAGGCTGAGAGTGATGGAGAGGTCTACTGGAATGAAAAGGCAACTATGTATCTCACACGCACCCCCCCCCCACCTCCCCACACACACTATAAACAAAATGAGATACATAATCAGAGAGTGATGGCAATATTTGGGTGTATAGGAGAGAGAGGTTGATATCTTGATTCAATGAACATCTCATAAAAGCAAATGGATAAAGAACATTTGACAATCACAGAAGGAAAAATTAAAAATGCAAATGATCAAAAGTTCAAATCAGTAATAAGCCAGATGCATGCAATTTAAGGCAAACATCAAATGCATTTTTTCCTCTTATGAAATTGGTGAAGTTTTGTTTTGTTTTGGGGTCCAAGTTATACAGTGGTTTGTGAGGGACCAGTGAAACACACAACTTACTCAAGGATTTCCATCTCCTTTTTCTCAACACTCTCACTTTTTTTTTTAAAGATTTTTATTGGGGAATTGGGGGGATGGGAACAGCGCTGGGGAATTGGGGGAAGGGGAACAGACAAGTTGCTGTTGTTTTGTTCTTCAGTCTAGTTGTGGAGGACGTTGCTCCACTGGCCCAAGTTGGCACCATCATTGCGCTCTTCCCGGGTGAGGCAGATCAGTCGCCGGCTTCTGGACGGCCACTCACAGCTGCTGCTGGCCCCTCACGCTGGCTGCTGGCTACATACGGTAGCCCATGGCAACCCACTGCCACAGGGGCTGCAGCCTACGCCGTCGCTGGCGACTCACGGCAGCCCAGCTCCAGGTTGAGCTGTTGTTCAGCATCTTAGCTGTAGAGGGCAGTGTCACTGGCCTTCATATGTGGGATCCAAACCGGGGCCCTCTGGCGTCCCAAGCCAGTTTTTAACCATTGCCACTCGGCCGGCCCTCAACACTCTCACTTTCATTTTATATAACCATGTTGGTGACAAGGATGCCAATGCCAGGAACAAACATTTATTGAGTAATCAATGTCTCTTTTGGTCCTCAGAATAACAGCAAAAGTAATTCATATAAATGGTAAAAGTAATCTCCTTTAATAGATGCTGTAACTAGGGTAAAAAATACCCATATTCCTACACCCCATATGTGGCTGGAAACCACCTGACCCCCAGGCCTTTGCTCTTACTCTTCATTCTAGGGATTTACTCAGAAATGTTGGAAATACAGTTTGAAGTGGATCTAGTTCATGGTATATACATAGAACTTAGAAGTAGGGAAGTGAGGAGGTCACGAGCTTTGACGTTAGATGTACTCTGGGTTTAGATTTTACTTCTTATTTAGGTTGTACATCACATACATTACAATTTTTAAAGGATTGTATTCATGGTTATTCTTAATTAAGAAACTCAGAAGCAACAAACATATGCTTGTATGACAGACAGACTCTAAGGTGGCCTCATGATTCCCACCACTTCCTGGGGATCCCTCCCCTTGAGTGCAGTTGGGACCTGTGATGTGCTTGTAAACAATAAATATAGCACAGGTGATGGATGTCACTCCTGTGATGACATTACATTACAAAAGACTCTTTCTTGCTAGCAGAGTCTCTCTAGACTGTCCTTTTTGGCTTGATGAAGTAAGTGGCCATGTTGGGGAAGTCCACCTGGCAAGGAGCTGTAGGTAGCCTGTATGAGCTGAAAGCAGCCTTCAGCTAACAGTCAGCAAGAAGCCAAGGTCTTCAGCCCTACAGACACAAGAAAATAAACTCTGTCAACCATCTAAGTGACCTTGGAAATGGATTCTTCCCCAGTCAAGCCTCCAGATGAGAATGCAGACCAGGGGACCCCTTAATTGCAAGTTTGTGAAATCTTAAGCAGAGGACCCAGTTAAGCCATGCCTGGACTCCTAACTCACCAAAATTGTGAGATAATAAATGTGTATTATTTTAAGCCATTAAGTTGGTGGTAACTAATACAGCTTGTATGTGTTGTTGAGTTATTCAACATTTTAGTACATGCAGTGTAGCCCCTTTATTGATAAATGTTGTGTTAAAGATTGCTGCCCTGTTGCATTCTGATTTTTGTCTTCCTTACTCCTTCACATACATGTCCCTGCTTTGATCTTCATTGCAGAGTCTCTGTGAGACAAAAACTCTAATGGAATGGAGCCTCACAGATCAGCCCCAGGTGTAAGGCTTACTGGGACTTCTAGCTGCATTTCTGCTTCAAAGATTGTGTGTCCGTGATCCATAGCCTTCATCCCTCTAGGTTCTTTGGGTTAGTCTCTTGACTAAACCTCTGTGACTGGAAAGAAACACAATCAACTCAGTTGGCCCAACTCAAGTTGCAGCTGCAATGTGAAGAAAACTTATGGTGAAGAACTAGGAGCAGGTTAAGTACAAACCAGTTCTCATTTAATCCACTAATCTTGGGAAAGCTTTAATTTGAGGCTCCCAGGATCTTCCTTTTTCCTTCTCCTTGACATCAACTTGCTCCTCCTCCACCTCAACCCTTGAGGTTTACCTGCTTGCTCGTTAATTGCCCCTACTTCCAGAAATAATCCAACCTGGCCTGCTCACCACGCCCCCTTCTCCTTCCTCGCTTCCTCTCTCCTGTCCTTCCTTTTCCTTCTTTCTTCCATCCTCTTCCATTTTTAAATCCCTGTATAGTTCCCTGTAGTTCTCTTTCTCTACAGCCCCCATTTTTTATTATACACTTTTATTATACAAGTAATATATTAATATAATGTCATACGCTAAAGTATATTGTGTAGCATCAACCTACATTTGTCAGCTATGTTTTTCAGACAACACAATAACTTGGAGGTCATTTCTCTTTTCATATATATATATATCCATTTTTTTAAACTACTGCATAATGCTATCATATTATCAGTATATCACAATGTGTTCATCCCTTAACTATTTAGGTTGTTTCTAATATTTTGATATTACAAGCAAATGCTGTGTGAATGAATTCTTGGGCACATCTGTGATGATCTTCCCTAAGATAGACACCAGAAGTGGAACTCTGAGCATATCCATTTAATTTATTTTTTATATTGAGGTATAATTGACATATAGGATTATATTCGTTTCAGGTGTACAACATAGTCATTCAATATTTTTATATTGGGTTGTCGGAAAAGTCATGATGCATGTTTGCAACAGATGGAGCTACTTCATTTTTGGAAGTACTAGAGTCATTCGCATCTATGTTATTGCTATATCATTTGACAGCTGACAGTTCTAGCTTCATTCTAAAAAAAATTGAGCAATTTGTGTTATGCAGATTTTTTGATTTTTTAAAATTTTTATTGGGGAATTGGGGGATGGGAACAGCGCTAGGGAATTGGGGGAAGAGGAACAGACAAGTTGCTGTCCTTTTGTTCTTCAGTCTAGTTGTGGAGGACGTTGCTTCACTGGCCCA